GGGCTGCAGTGTTCTGGGGGTCCAGGCCACCCAGCTCCTCCTTCCCAAGCTAGACTGCGACGCGTGTGAGGCGCAGAGCCCCTCCGCAGCGCCCAAGTCAGGAAACGCGTCCAGGAAAAAGGAAATCCGCTTTCCGAAGGGGCCGGCTGGAGCCTTATAAAACCCAGAGGGGATCGCGCCAGCCAAGTCTGAGGCAGCGGAGCCCCTCGTAAAGAAGAAGGGGGCTCTTGGAAGGCTCAGCCGGTGTAAACACTCAGAGGACGAAGGTGAGGACCTTTGTGGGCGCAGGGGTAACGCCCAGCGGATCACAGCCCTCGGGCAAAGCTGGAGTCCGGAGACCACCAAGCCAAAGACCCCTGCTTGCAACCTCTTAGGATCCCGAATCTGCAAGTTCTATCTAGACCCACAATGAAACCCCGGAGCTCGCTGTATACATTGCAGGTTCCCTAAATGCCCCAGGTCTGTCCCTTTCACACACCCACAAAGCGACTCTCTGGAAGCATTCCCTTCCTTTGGTCTACCGAACTTGTCCTTTGCCCCGGCCTAGACTTCCCGCCCCGGGTCTTGGTGCCTCCAGCCCCCGGCTGGTCCCTGGTACCTGGCAGGTACATGTTGATCAGCAGGGGCTGGGAGGCGCCGCTCTGTCTCATCGCTGCCAGGGACTGGGCGGTGGGAGATGGGGGGGACCGTTCGGGGGGGCACGTCAGCTTTGCGCTTGGGGTGCCGATCCCCGCCCAAGGCGACTGTGGGTGACGGGGAATAGTAGACGCCACCGGGTCCGGCAAGGCCTGGCGGGAGCGGGCAGCCAGGGTGTGGCGAGGAGGGAGGGGGTCCTGGAGCGATGCTCCTAGCTACAGGGCGGCTTGCAGCCCTCCGGCCCCGCGCGGGCAGGGGCCGCAATTTCCGTTTTAATTAAAGTGCGGCCGCCTCGGCCCCCCAGACCCCGCCCCCGCCCCTCTTATCTTCCCATCGCAATAAAGTCTCCAACGCTCAGCGCCTCAGCCAAGCGCACCCGGCAGCCCCCTGCGCCCCGCAGCCCAGGAGACACGCGGGGGATGGGCCCCGGCTTCGCGCACAGACGGGGGCCAGGAGCGCGTTTCTTTACCGCCACCCCGACTCTCGGCAAACATCGATGGGGCCGGAATGCTGGCCCTACTTTGGATCTCTAAGGTTGGAGCTTCAGGCCCCCTCCCATGAGCCTTCTTTCCAACCTCCTCCCTCCCCTCTCTCACTGCTTACTCTCCGCCCCTTTCCTCCCCCTACCCCGGTCCCCGTCTCTAGGCTGCGTTATCTGCATCTTCACTTTTAAATTTCCGCTTCCCTCCCTCTCGCCTGTCGCTGCGCTCCCGGCCGCGCTGCCGTGGCTCCCTTTATCTTTGCCCACCCCTGTGCCTTCTCCCTCCTTTCTCCTACTCTCACTTGGTCCCTAGAGACCCGATCTCCTTCTCGGTCTCCCCTACGCTTTCACTCGTTTCCTGTCTTCGTCTGGCCCCAGGCCTGAGGCAGGACTCTGGGGCATCTCCCCTGGCAACTTCCGAGTTGCTCTTTTTTTTTTTTTTTTTTTTTTTTTTTTAATTTTCCTCACCTTAGGTCTCCTTGCTGCCTTGTGTCTGCTGTTTTTCTTGTCCTTTCTTCTCTCTTCCTCCCCTCTTTTCATCTCTTTAGCACCCATAAATTGGTGGCCAGTTGGACCCTCTTGTCTAGCCCGAGACAGAATATAAGGTGCTTTTCCTTTGTAGATTGCCATTCCTTTTCCCACTTCTCACTACAACTATTTCTCTTCCACCCTCCCCCACTCTCACAAAGCCTCCCATGCTGATGATGACTGAACCACACTGTGGGGTTACAGAGGTCATAATCCAGCCTGTACCTGTGCCTTTCCTAATGCATGATGCAGCTTCCAAGTAGACCAGGTCGTCTGGGTACCTGTGAGACTACTCAACCCCAAGACTGAAGTTGGGACCCTGGGTTAGGAACGCCTTCTGCAACCGTGTGACACTTGGGTACATGACACTTAACTCAGCGGGTAGCTGCTGTCAGAATTGCTTTTCTCTAGGTCCTCCTCTCTCTTGCTTAAACACGGGGCCTAGGAGAGCTGGAAATGGGCAGACCTCCTGCAGGGTCCTTGTTCCTAGGGCGCCTGTATGAGGACTGCTGCAAAACTCCTCCTGGAGTTTTGCAGGGACCCTGCAAAGGTGCAAGGGTGAGGAGGATGGAGGATGGGAGGCAATCAACAAAATCCTATCTAGACAGGGATGGAGACTTTAGGATGCTGATATGGAATTTAATGGGAGCAAAGGCAGAGGCTGGGATGTTTGGGGGAACAAGCTTAGGACACCTCAGGAAAGGGCTTCAGGGTGCTGCCAAGATCTCTGTCCTCCTGTGCCCTCTTATTGCTCTTTCCAAACACTACTGATAGAAGGCAACCACAAGAAGGTGGGACCAGAAGAGCAGGGAGGCTGGAGGTCCATCCACTGAATACTCTCAGCAGGAGGCTAAAGCGGGAGACGAGTTGGGGGGGGGTGCTACCCAAACAGATTAGCTGTGTGCTGTGCAAGTGTCAACAGCAGCTCAGGCTTTGTGCTCAGCGTGACTGAGAACTTAGGTGCTGAAGGAGTGTGGTGTGTGTGTGTGTGTGTGTGTGTGTGTGTGTAGGGAAGACTCCCCATCCCACTTTCTCCATCTCCTCCTGATGACAGATAACAGAGTCCTTGGTAGCTTCCCCTCCATTGTCTCCCTGCCAGGCTATGTGTTACGGTTCCCACTGAGTGTACAGACCACCAGCCTGTCCAGAATGGGAGAACCAGAGATTAATAAAACTCTCAGACATGTTTACTTCAACCTCTACTTTTAAGTTGCCAGGGGATGATAGACGTGGGAAGCAGAATATGACTCCTGGATCAAGAAAAATATAAAAAGATCCGTGCGGGCAAAATCTGGAAAAACAAAAAGAAAACAACCCCAAGACCAGCATCCTATCCGGGGTCCCTTTGCCAGGTCCTAGAGGCATCTTCTTGATGCTTCCCAGTGAGCAGAGATGCTCCTAGCAGGATCATTCAAGAGAAGGTACCAGTTCTCTCTCTCCTCTCTCTCTCTCTCTCTCTCTCTCTCTCTCTCTCTCTCTCTCATTCATTACCTATTTCTGGCAACAGGGAATGAGGAGATGGGCTCTAAAGCAAAGATGATTTAAGTTCTGGAGTCTTGCCTATTTCCTATTTGTGTGACATTGAGGAAGTTAAATCACCTTAGAAGTGTTTTTCCGTGTCGGTGGTGGTGCAGGCCTTTAATCCTAGCATTTGGGAGGCAGAGGCAGGTGAATCTCTGTGAATTTGATACCAGCCTGGTCTACAAAAGCTAGTTCCATAACAGGCTCCAAAGCCAAAGCTGCATAGGGAAACCGTGAAAAAAAAAAAAAAAAAAAAAAAAAAAAAAAAAAGGAAAGAAGAAAAAGTGTACTTAGTTTCATTGTCTTAATATTGAAGATGTAAACATCTGCACATTGGCATATTGTGAACTTTTAATAAGATAGAAAATGGTAAGTACTTAAGGATCAATTCATATGCATTTAGCTTTTGTTAGTTCTACCATCCTGCAAGAGATGACCAGCCAGGAATCCCACATATGTTTCAGGCTCTTTTGAAGCCTGAGGTTTTAGCCACAGCTCTACTTAGCCTTAATTGAACCTGGACTTGGCATCCTGGGCCCTATTTTCAAATCCTGGTTTAGTCACTGATTGGGCAGGTAACCTTTTTAAGCCCCAATTTCTTAGTTAATGCAATAGCTGGAGAATGGATGCAATTTGGAGGATCAAATGCGAAGGGAGATGTGGACTCTAGAGCCCATTCAGAATTGAAGCAGAATTCATACCCACTAAGAGCTCAGATCCAAGGACATGAGACCCATGACAGGGTAGGTGGAGGATCCTACATCCATGTTCCACTGCTTTCCCCACAATATCCCACATATCTTTAATGAGTTCTTATTAAGTCTTCATAACAATCCCTGGACAAACACGATCCATGGATCAATAGCTTCGGTTTATAGACAGATGGCAAAGTTTAATATCATAGGAGGTACAATTGATTGCTGTTAGAGTCTTGGGTCTTGGCTCAGTGGGATAAAGCCTCACCTGTATAAAGGCACAGTGGGCAGTGGAACCTCCCACTAATGCTTTTCCTGGGAACAAAAGAAAGGGGGCTTTTGAAAGACACTGGCAGGTTTCCCTGGCTGTCTTGAAACCAGGGTGGAGATGCAGACTGAAGATGGCCCAAGGTGGGGGGTGCAGAAGCCAAAAGAGCTCTTGTATATGGCTCATGATGTTCTTTCCTGCATGGTGGTTCCTGGCCTAGGCAGTGTGTGGTGGATGAAATTCAGCTGTGAACCCTACTTCAGGATAGAGTTGTTGCTCCATCTAGAGAATGACAAAGGTACCATCTGGGCTTTCAATACTTTGGCCTACATGGGTGGGCTTTTCCCAAGGTGAGATATGGAACTAGATGCATCTTATTAGGTTCCACAACTCTTTTAGCTGTTCCCTTTTAGTCCCCCCAGAGTATATCCATGAGCAGTTAGGTCATGCTTGATAGGTAAATGTTCTGGGCCCTTACTGGAAGAAAACAGTCCTCAGAAAGATAAGGATGGAGATTACCCATCTGCTGGGAAGTGGTGGAACACCTTTAATCCCAGCACCTGAGAGGCAGAGGCAGGTGGATCTCTGAATTTAAGGCCAGAGAGAGTTCCAGGACGGCCAAGGCTACACAAATAAATCTTGCCTTGAAAAACCAAAGAAGAAAGAAGAAGGAAGGGAAGAAGAGGAAGAGAGATTGCTTGCCTTGAATGCACAAATGCATAAAGCTCTAGGTTCCATCACACACACACACACACACACACACACACACACACACACACACACAGAAAGAGAGAGGGATGGAGAGGAGAGAGAGAGCAAGAAAGAGGAGCAAGTAGATTCAAGAACTTTTATTGAGAATCTTAGGGGTGGATGATGGCTGCGAATGGGAAGCCTAGTGCTGGATTCTTCGAATGGACTGCAACTGCCCAGTATGGGCCTGTGTGCCAAAGTCACTGTAGGTACGGAACTCCCCACTGTGCCGGTCCCGTTCCAAAATGTACTGGTAGCCTCGGTAGCCGGGGTACTGGTAGGCCACCCATCTAGGATGGTGAAGAAAATGGTAGTGAGTAAGGTTTGCATCACCCCACCTGTGTGGTCCCCTCAATAGTCCCCTGTCCCAGCCACCAGCAGCCAGCTCCAAATCCACTGTTTCAGCTCTGCCTTTTGCTGTGGGTCTTCCTGTGATCTGTCTTAGTCTGTCTCCTATACTCACCCTTCATTTCCTCTTTACCCAAGTTTTCAACCCCCCCACATCCCCACACACTCCCCTGGCTCCTGGTCTGCATTGCCTCTTCCTACTCTTTCCCTCCTCTTACTTCCTCTCCGCTACCTCACCCCCAGTCTCTGTTAGCCTCTAGCATCCTCCATCATTCCCTCATCTTCTCTTTTGTTCCCACAAACTTCCCACTCTTCCCATTGCTCCGGCTCCAGCCCCAGGACTCACGCTCCAGAGCTGACTTTGAGGGAACCCACATCTTTGCTGGTCCAGCCCATAGAAGGTAGTGATGGGTAGTCATCACTAAGTTCAAACTTGCAGCCCTGGAAGTTTTCCCCCTCAAACAGTGTCACACGGCTGTCACCATGGTTCTGAGGCACAGAAATGGGGGCGGGGGGTTACAGAAAAGTCAGAGCCTCTAAAGGGATGTTCATGGATATAACCTTAACTCTAGTCACCTAGTTCCTCCCCAGGCTCCTTGTCATTTCAGGGGTTGGTTCACCCCATCAACTCCTAGTAAGTCTGGCCAGCTGGGATGCTCAGAGGCTAAGCTGGGCCCTACCAAGACCTTGAGTTATGTGCAAGACTAGGGAATTCCCAGAGCTTCTTTGAGCTCAATGCTACACGGACTTCTGTTACAGGAACTCCTTTGCTGTTGTCATTATCTCTTTGTTTTATTTGTGGTAACAGGGATAAACACAGTTGAGTATGCTAAGCTGGCCTCCAGTTTGTGATCCTTCTGCCTCAGCCTCAAACATAGCTGGAATTAATAAGCAAGTACCACTACCCCCCTGGGCCTACTTTTAGGAGGAAATCATGGACTCTGAGAGAAAAAAAAAAAGTCTGGCTCATTAACCTGGATATTTTTTTAAGGGCCTCATTGACTACCCAACTCTTTGTTCAGCTCCTCACTACTTCCTCTATCAGATCAGAATACAACTAAGGGGTCCTGGATGGAAAAGTCAGAACAGAGAGATGTCAGAACAGCATGGTGGTGTTGGTTACATCTGGCCTCCCTAGCATAATGGTCTTCCTGCAACAAGGTCATTGTCCCTCATAGCCTCTTGGAACAGAGAAATTGGAACGGATTGGGTCCTCTGACCTTCACCACCATTTGGTCAAACTGGGACATTTGACTTATTCACACACACACACACTCACACACACACACACCTCCAACACTCAGAGACACTGACCCTTTTCTTAGTCTGATCCCTGGTCTGCATGGTAACACATTTGGCCCTGTCAAGTCACATTATGCCTTTGAGCCTCGTTTCTAAGACTGTGTATGGGGCTGACAGCAGCCACTTCAGTCTCCCGGGACTGTGTGATGACAAAGGCTGCTTAACACCTGTGTGATTGAAAACAGAAGGGCCCCGGGCAAGCTCAGAACTGGCTGGTCTTTGATGCTGTCCGTGGTGCTGATCCAGGCCTGAGTCCATAATCCCAATTTTAAGACGTTTTGGTTCTGGAGTAACACCACGTCCACCCACCGAAGAGTTTGTTCACACATTACAGTGGGCTTTCTAGGGCACTTTTGCGGGGGGGGTCTGGAGCTAGGCGACAGGAGAGACGGGGAAGTGGGCCGTGCTCACCGCACAGAGCACGGGCCTGAAGGACAGCAATTGGTTGCTGTGATGGCTGCTGCTGCCGCTCCAGGCGCTCCAACAAGGATAGTCTCCCTTCTCTAGAATGAACTGCTGTCCCTGGAAATCGGGGTACTCGAAGGCCACCCATCTGAAAAAGGAAAGGGGATCTGGGAGGTATCTGTCCAGTCTCCCTCTCCAACATCAAAAAAAAAAAAAAAAAAAAAAAAAAAAAGACCCAGGAATGCAAACTCTCCAACTCCAGACCATTCCCTGGACACACCCATCCCCTCTGGAGAATGAAAACCCCAAACCTAGTGCTTTCAGGGGTTGGAACGGCCTAGGTCTCCCATTCAAGGCCCACAGGTTAGCAGCAATGTTTCAGGAATTTATGTGCATCCAACCCTCTGGCCTGCAAAGGGACCTCAGCCTCTCTCCAGCCCCCCAAGCTGGCTTCTAGGAGACCAAAATGGGACCAGCAGAAATTATCTGTCCCACAAAGCCATCTGAGTTCGCACAAAGGAAATTGTTGGGGTTTCAGGCGGCCCCATAGATTGTGCCTTTGTCTTGGGGAGGGTTGGGAGATTTGGAGAGGACAAAGTTTTCTCTCGTTGATGAGTATGTCTGTGGACATACTAGAGTGTAGGTTGAAGTCTCAGTCTCTGACTTTGGCTGGGGGGGGGATGAGAGAAGCTAGACACCCCCTAGATTAGTTCAGCAGTCAAACAAAGCAGGATCACTCACGCTCCGTTTTCCACCTTGACTGAGCGCACCCTGCGCAGGGCTCCTCGCTCACAGACATTTGCACAGTCGCTCAGCAGTCGGCAGCGACGACCCTGGAAATCCTCCTCGTCCCAGAGAGTGAGGCAGACGGGCGCTGGGCCCGGCGCGGGGGCGCTGCTCATGCTGCTGCAGGCTAAGGAGGGCAGATCACCGACTAGGCTCCCAGTAGACCTCTACTTAGCCCAAGCCTGCCCATCCCCTATAGGGTGTGAGGGACTCTGGGACTGGATCTAGCCTGGCTTTGAAAACAGGCTGCCAGGGGCAAGGGGCTCCCCCCCCCCCTTCTCCCTACCTTTCCCCAGCACCAAGTACTCACCTGATGAGTGAGTGCGGAAAATGGAGAGGTTGCGCGCGAGCCTGGTGTGCGCCGCTTTATACCCACGTCTGGCTGCCTCTCCCTGTGGGATCCGAGCGCGGTGGGCGAGCTGAGTCAGCTGACAGGCTTTGGTCAGCTCTGGTCTGCAAAGGCAGCGGAGCCACCGATCTGGTCCCAGATCGCTTGGATGACAACGGAAAGTGCTGAGGCGCGTACATCGTGTGTCCGCAGGAGCCCAGGCTGACTCTGCGCTTTCTTTCAGCGAGGCTTAGCCTGGCAGAGACTCCTAGCCTAGGGACAAAACACGCATACCCTGGCACAGACCCTCGGGAGTGAAAGTTAAGCCCGGGGCTTAGCCTTTCCTAAAACTACGTGAGCCTGGCATAGCACGGTTATGTTAAAACTCCCTAGGTGAACATCTCTATTTTTGGGCGTCTCTTGGGAGAGAGACCCATCTCTAAAGAACCCGAGTCAAGCCCCTCAGGCCTCTCTTATCGCTGGATGATCTGTCCATTGTTGTCCTTTCCTTCTCCGCCCGCCGGGGGTGGGTGGGGGGAGCTGGAGGGTTGGCTTCCTAACTAGTCTCCCTCTCCGAGGTCGAGACCAGACCTCACCGCCAGGCGGCACTAAGCACAAAAAAGCATCCCGGAGCGCGTGGGTTTGTCTGGGTTTTAGGAACACCCTGGGTGCCAAGGGAGGGGCTAACTGTCCTAGGTAGGAAGAGCCTCTCAACCTTCCCCGACCACCTGCGAGTCCGGATCCGCAGACCTCAGCTGCAGTGTAGGAGAGTGGGTGGGGCTTAGAGATGCTAAGAGGAGGCTGCTGCTGGAAGGGGATGGCCTCACCGATAGCTGTCGGGAGACACAGGCTTCTAGCAGATCTGTAATTCAAGTGCTCTTTAATGCTGAGAGGCCATCCCAGCAGCAGAGCGAAGGTGGGTGGGAGATATCTTGTTAACTCCTGTTTGCCAAGGGCCTCCCTTGTAGATGCCACAGCAGCACATTTCCACATTTGCACACACAAATGTGGAAAGTGAAACTCAACCTGGTGCGGGGCTTTGTGCAAATTCATAACTGGCCAGTTTTCAGAGTTAAAAAGAAATCTAGCCTTTTTGTTCTTTTGCCTCTCACCCCAACTCTTGGAAGCATGTATAAGGCGCCCTCCCCCTTTATTTTCACCTAACCTAAGCCCATTCCCAGCCCAGAGCCTTTCCATTTGCCCTTCGCATTCCATGGAGTGTTTTAATCTAACGCTCTTGGCATGGCTAGCCCCTCTGCCACTTTGTGCGTGATGTAGTCACAGCACACTTACCTCCATCTGTGTTCTCTGCAGCGCTTGTCAGCCTAAAGGTGCCCTCCTCTTAGTTCATGAATGCACAGCGCCTCCTTTACTAGAGTGTAAGCCCCACACAAACGGGTAGGGACTATGTCTGCCTTGTCCCCAGTTATCATCCTCAAACCTACATGGTGCTGGAAACAGAGTGGGAATTCAATAAACCTGGAATGAAATAACAAGATGGCCAAAGTGTGGGCCAAATGTTCACGGGGACAGAGTGTACAAGAAAGTCTCCCGTGGTGTGAGGGTGATGGTTTGCCCATCTTACTACTCCCATTTTGGAGTGGAGTTCTGGGCTTATGTGTGTGTGTGTGGTGGGGGAGGGGTCAGGCAGAACCTCCCTTTGGCCTGCCCAGTACTAGTGAGAAGTGGCTGTTGGGACTCACTTACCTACACTTGAGTTGAGGCTGTAGTCCACGCCAGAACATGGGTGGAAAATGGGAAAAGCCTGAGGTTTGATTGAGAGTGGAGCCAGAATTGCTGTCAGCTGCTTGACTCTTCCCTAGAGAGGGCTAGACAAACATAAAAGGGTTGTGATTTTTTCCCCCAGACTATAGGGGAAAGTCCAAACTCCACATAGGAAAGCAGCTTCTCCTTAATGCTTAGCATTCATGCTTCTGCTCTGTTTCACAAGTCCTGGCTGCAGCAAGAAGTGAGGCTTGAGAAAATAAATAAATAATAAGAATAAAAGATCTTTTTCCTTCCAACGGACAGTTCTACAGTTGGCCACCAGGGGGCGGAACCAGTCTACTCTGGCTGGAAAGCCAGACCTGGGTGTGTGTGTGTGTGTGTGTGTGTGTGTGTGTGTGTGTGTGTGTGGTTGCTCAGGAGGGGCTGTGGTGGTGACTGCAGGCTATACATCTGTGCTGTTGGTGACTGTGGGCTTGTGTGTTAGCTCTGAGGCTGTGTTTGCCATGTTTAGCAGGAGCTAGGCCTGGGGTGGGGGCAGCTTCCAGTCCATGTGTTGGTTAGAAGTCCTCAGAGATGCGTGTTCCCTCCAGAATCTGGAAAGGCACAGAGGGAAAATGAGGTCCTCCTCACAGTGGGGGTGTCCTGGTTTGGGGGCGATGGTCCATATGAGAAGCCTACCCTTCCCAGTCCTCTTGGCTGCACCAGCCTCCCACTCTACCTGCACCCGGGTCTCCTCATCAGGAAAACATAAAGTTCTCACCGCACATCCATGGCTTTTAGTTCTATCCGCAGTCAGCTAAATGGCACACCTGTCACCACACCTGTTTCTACCACCTACAGTGACTGAGGTCCCGTGTCCCCCAAGAGAATGAGAAAGGGAAGACACCACTGAAGGACAGAGGCAAAGAGGCTCTCAGGCAGCCCCTATACCCTCATGCCAGAACAAAACTTCCTGTGCTGTAGACTCCTTCCATTATCCTCCCTTCTCCATCAGGCTGGTCCAATTCCAGCCCCTGGTCTCCCCTCACACCCCCTCCTACCCCCAGCAGCTGTTCCTGTTTGTTTTCCCAGATCAGTTGAGCTTAGAGCTTCCTGAAGGATGGAAGCCCAGGTGGCTTTGTTTGCCAGGTCGGTACCATCCCTTCTACCTCCTCCACATCCACAGAGATTTGACATTGAGGGAACAGTCAGGAAAAAAACCCAGCAAAAACAAAACCCCAGCAACCTCAGACTCATACACCCAGATCACTAGGAGATCTCACAAGGGTCTCGTCACAGCAGTCTCCACTCTGACCACACTGAGGTAATCATCTCCTATAGGGACCACACCACACACACACACACACACACACACACACACACACACACACACACCAGAAGTTCTATTCATATCTCCACTCCTATTCTATTCTGTCTACCTCACCCCATCATTTTAACATTGACCCTTAGATCCACAAGGAACCTTCAGGCTTGAGTTTGATCTCACACTCCACCCATGTGGGGACCTGTAAGACCATGCAGATAAATGTCCAGACCCAATCCTGAGTTCCCATTCGCATCTCCATCTAAGTTAAGGTCCAGAAAATGCCTAGGGAAGGGGCACTGCCCCTATGCAGAGTCTCACTCCACAAAGAACCCTATTTCTCAGTTCCGCTGGACAGCTTAGAGGTACTGGTGGCCAATGTCCTCTCCTCAAGGTGGCCTGATCCCACCTCTTCCCCTCATTTCACAGGGAAATCATGCAGGGCTTGGGGACTGAACAATGCAAATTCTGTGAGTGGTGCCCTCATCTACCCCAATGCCATGGCCAGTCTTTTCCTTTGCAGCTTAGCTCCTCTAGCCCCGCCCCACTTCAGGTCTGGAACAGGCAGATGAGCTCCTTCCCTGGGGCTGTACAAGCCTTGTCTCCCAGGAGACAGAGATAAGTCAGTGTGAGACAAACCCAGTTCATCATACAGATGGCAGCCCCACCCACATACCCATTGCCCCACCCTATCTTCTCCGTCCCTCTGTAGGGCTGGAGAGCTGATTCCATCCGAGAGGTGAGGGGCAGCTTTCACTACCACACACTTCAACACAAGGCTACACAACTCTTTTAGGATGGCAGGGAGAGGACACTGAACACAGTTTATGGTCATGTGGAGGTAGACATCATCCTCGGCAACAGTCACATGGGCACGATCCCACAAACTCGATTGTGAGTCCCTGTCCTGGGACTCAATAGACACCCCAGAGTCTATTCATTTGTGGGGAAATATTTGTTCAGTTGTTAGAGTGTCTTGCACCCAGCATGGGGGAGGGCTCACACTGGAGTACACCCTCATCCACTGTGACACACACATGCCCCCTCTGCAGTAACCCAAAGAGATATCACCTTAACTATTCAGCTGTGATCACGTAGGTACTGAAGACTAGACTAGACGGGCTCTGGAGCCATGCTGCTGCCTGAGATCAAATCCCAGTGCTACTGTTTAAAAGTCATCTGGTCTCCACTTTACCTTTCCATTTCTCCTCTGTAAAATGGGAATCATTGTCTCGACTATTATAGGGATTTAAATGTATGTAAAACACAGGACTACCCTGCAATATACACTCAACAAATGGTAGCAGTTGCTGTTGGTACATTTTCAGGTTATGAATGTCATATCAGGGTTCTCCCCACTTCCTCTGGGATGGGGTGGGGTTGGATTGGGAGGGGTCAAGGCAGCCAGCACAGCTCTGGGATCATTAACCTCCTTTACCAACCCGATCCTGGTTCTAGAGAAGCCAGCAGAACAGGACACAAGAGGCCTTTCACTTTCCATCTCTCGGGAGCCAGCCACTCTGCTCACTCAAGTTTGACAGGTCAGGGGAGGTGTTCCAAATTCCCCTATTTTTTGCTCAGGCGTTTGCTGTCAGGGAGGGTAGAGCTGAAGACCAGACTCTGTTTCCTCTGGTTTTCCTGGCCAGTAAGTGGCCTTTGCCTGCCCTCCCCCACCTCCATCCCTGTGTGGGGCCTCAGGTCTTTACCTGTAAACTAAGCTGGCTGCTGGAGGGGCCCTCTCAGCCATACCAGCCTTGG